TTGATTATCGAATCGAATCACAATTTGTAAATGAGCAAATTTTGAAACAGTCAATTTTCAAAATAACAACCTGTACCCTAGGATGCCCGCCAGAGGTTCTCTCCCACGAAAGATCGGAACTAAATTCCAGTGTTGCCAGATTTCCCCTCGCAAACAGCAATTTTAAGTATAAATTTTTGGGAATTTCTAATTGGACATTTCACTGATTTTTCATCTGTTCTCATACGCAAAACAAAATCGGACCGGTAAATTCTTATAAAAAATCGAATTGTTTGAGTCAATTTGGCAACCTTTGAACCAACCAACCTGCCAAAAAAAAAATTCAACTCTAATGCCGCATTATGCCGCCGTTGCTGAATTTTGCGCGTCACGCGCAAAATTCAGCAACGATTCTGAGCGACCATATTGTCGGATTTATCTGATCTATTCGAATAGATTTGATATACATTTGGATGAAAATAACTTAAATTAGTGAAATTTCAGCTGTTGAGCGCTGACCGTTGACTGCCACATTCAGTCGCCAAATTCAGCGTGTGATTGCGGCATAAGAAAAGAGAGATGAACTCTCTGCGGTGCAAGCAGCGGTGAAGCAGTGGCGAAGCGAGAATGCTTGATCGATTATCGATATTTCCCCATTTGAGACTATGGTAAAGAATCGATTGTTGGTGTTCGTTGCGAACACCCTGTTTATCGATCCTTTTCCTTTAGATTTAAATGGTAGGTGAATCGATATATTGCAAAGCACGCTACGTCCTGTTTGAAATATATGTGGCCTCATATGTAACAATGTCGGATGTAAAAAATTACCTTTCCGAAACACGCCTAAAACTGTTTTGGTCACACAAAAATCTAATATGTTCGGCTCTGACATAATGTACAGGTCTCGAAGATCGCATCTCAAGTATTTTCTCAAAATTTTCTCGATGCCAAAACAGTTTTTTGAACTTGTTTCGAAAAGGTAATTTTTCACATCCGCCATTGTTACATATAAGTCCTCCATATGCGTTTAAAAATCTTGGAGCATCCATGTCTTATTTCTTCACATTAAAACTGGACCAAAATTTCCCAGAAATTGTCTATACGTAATTTTGAATCATGCAGTTTAGAAGATTAAAAGCAATTTCATGAGGAACAGCGAGTCGGTATTCTTTAAAATGAACAAAGCGCAGCAACAAACAATAGGATCAAGTCTGCAGGAGATATCGGACGAAATTGCGAGACTTTAAACGCCTTTAATTCCGTTTATACAAAACTCTGAGTACCTAAAAGTGGTTTGATTGGTTTCCTCGTAAAATTGTCTTCTAGAGGCACCCCTTAAAATTTAAAATGTGACGAAATAAAATCAAAATTTGCAGTTTTAGTAAAAAATGTTATGTCTGACCTCTCTGACTGACTCGATCCACCGTGCGACGATCCCTTAAAAAATGAAACAAGAGCGGAGATTTTGAAACACCGCGATCGATGTGCGTGTTTTTACAGTTTCACCGTCGATGCTTTAGGACGAAGTCATGCAAGCAAAAGGAATCAAATAACTTTAATTTTGCTCACGAAGAAAATGAATAATAATGGACCACTAGACTAGGTACGCATTTAAGCGATCTGATACGCGTTTCTTAACCAGAACTTTACGTAGAACACGATTCACACAACGAAAATTACTGATACCAACTCCCAACGAAGATATTAACGTTTTTATTTCACATTGGTTACGAGAAATTTGAACTGCCCGCTCACAAGAAACTCAAAGCTCTATACGTGAGTCAAATCGCGCACTACAACGGTTTCAGCAAGCTTCTCAATCGAGCAATGTTCATTTCCCACCATATGTTGTTCAAACTAGAAGCAATTTGCTATAGCTGAGCCAAAGCGTCAAGATTGCCAGATTTTTATACCGCAGAGACTGTCATGATAACGTTTAGCGCACGATGTGAATCACGTAGAGCATTGAGTTTTCATGAGCGGGTGGTTTAAACTCACGCATCAAGAATCATTAAATATCTTCGTAAGGAGTTGATTTCGGTGATTTTCGTTGTGCGCATCGTGTTCTACGTGAAATTTAAGTTACGAAACATGTATCAGAATGCTGAAATTCGTACCTTGTCCAGTGGTCCATTATTGTTCTTGGACGCACAAACAAGACCATACCTCACGAAAAATTTAAAATTGTCTCATAAGTAGCGGGGAATTTTTTTTTTTTATTAAAACATGTGAATGCTGTGCGAATCATGGAGTGGGCTTAAAACTTGTTTATATTCTTTTCTCTCTTTCAGTAAACATACGTTCCGGCGTTGGGCAGCCTAAACTCAAAAAATTGAGCTATGACGCAAGTCTTTAAATTAAGGTGAATCTACCGCGAAAGTGAATAAATATCCCGAAAGTTTTTTTGAAATACTAGTTTTACTTTCAAATAGGCAAAGTAAGCATTGACTCATAGATAATATATGAAAGTTTGAGCTTTTTCAACGAATCTTAAGGACATTGGAATTATTTTACTTTTGGTATCTCGAGGATATTATGCATTACGTCCAGCACTGAGAAAAAACTATGGCTTATAAACCTATTAGAGGTAAATATGGAACACCACTAATAGTAGTACCTCTACATATAATAATAGCACATATACCTTAGTTATGGTCTCTGTACCTTAATTAGGTACAGAGACCTTAGTATGGTTCACAGACCGAGAATCATTAGTTTATTTACGACTATTATAGGTGTTCCATATTTACCACTAATAGGTTTATAAACCATAGCTTTTTCTCAGTGAGAGGCATATCTCCCAGTTGTCTCTTCCCCCGAAAATATTTTGTAAACCCTGAAATTTGTCTGACAACATCCGAACGAGAGATAATGCATTTATTCTAATCCTGCTAATTGTATCCGGGCTCTTCTGGATGTTATGAAAGATTTCCATAAGAGATTTTGGTGAATCAACAGCAGAGGTGTGCGTAAAGACTCTTATTTGGCAATAATTCAATAACCGGTAATTTATGAGCAAGTATTTTTCGATACCTCGATGTTTATTCACTCCTACTGAATATTACCTATCTTGAGCGAAGAATTAGGGCGATCAAGCTATCGCGAAATTCAGGAACTGCTTTGAAAACTGATTTTCAAATAATTTGAGCAAAGAACGCGATTCCAAGCTTTAAAATGCTCAAATATATATTTTACGAATTATGATGAATACCTAGCTGTTGGGATACTTCAAGACGTGACATACTAAGAGACAGAACTCGTTTAATTTTATCATTTTCATCTACTTGAGTGTATACCGAAAATGAAAAGGGTAAACTCATCTGAGGTGGACTCCTCTTTAAAAAAAAATGTCTTCATTGACGTGTATTTATAACTTTTTAAAATCAACTTCTTATCAGGGAGGGAAGGTATGGTGAGTTTTGATAAAAAATTGAAAAAATGGTAAGAGAATGAGTACCTAAACATTGACGACATACCAATTGACATTGATTTTCATACTGTGGGATGAATGGTTCGCCCTTACTTTTAAGTATTTTTACTTTATGAAATAAAAATGAACTGGCATCTGGAAATATTCATTGATTTGACCCAGTATCAAAAATAGTTTACTTGACAAAAGGTTAACACGCAACGGATGCGAGCAAGAAGATATTTTCAAAAATTTAGTTAAAAAGACGTTAAGACAACAGGTTGAATGGGACTGAATTTTCAAAGAGCCTACCTCTTAGATTAGAAAACGGGAAAGAGAGGGAAAACTTTAAAAGACGCACGAATGTCGTGAAAAGTGCACACAGCCCATAGGCGGGTGAAAATTTTTCAGATGAAATAATAAAATCATCAAATATAACGTTTGAAAACTATAAATTGTGAAAAAACTTTTAAAAGCTTGATGTTGATTGATCTCAGGAAAATAAGCATTTTTAATCAACGCCTAGCGCACAGTCGGTATAGCCGCCTCAGTATAAGAACTGTAGTTTAACAACACTAAACATTTTTTGTAAAAATTTCGCAGAACTCTTGAAAAACCGGTTAGAGAACTTTCTATAAAGTGAAATTTAACGTATAAAAAGTTGCCGAAAAGGGTTACCTTAAACGAACATGTTAATAGATTTCTTAAGAATGTTGAAAAATGTTTCCTAAGTCATTGCTACTTCAGGCAATCTTAGACGTGCTAATAAATCTCGTAGTGTAAGAAAAAAATGCATAAAATCAATTAAGTAGATCAATTTAAGACTCAGTATTTTCTTTTAAAAAAAAGGAGAAAAACAAAGAACAAACAAAAAATAGTTGCCAAATTTGTCAACAAATCCCGGTAAAAGAAGCGAACCAACATACCAGCAGCTCTAGCTTGAATCGCAATTTTTTCATTAATTCATTTAGGCTCGAAAAAAAGCTACGTATCATTCCATGAATGGTCAGCGCACATTTTTCCACGACCGAAAATTTGAATCTCTGCAAAGGAGGAGACCTAAGGACGACCTTTTAAGTTCGAAAACCACTCGAAATCAAAACGTAGCACCGACATCATTAAGTGGATGGGGATGGGAGAGGTCAATTCCTCAGAAGAAATAAAAATAAACCGAAATCACAACAATGAACGAAACCAAAAATACGACGGAGGAGACGACCAATATCATGGAAACCACATGAGCGTAAGTGGTAGTGATAACACTTTCGGCTTTGGATTGAACGGTATCCCTCAGGTAAACGGCCTCGTCGAAGCCCATAAGCCACAAATAGGACGAATGGGCCAAGTTCAAGAGTTGGTAGAAATGAAAGTTCACGCTCATGGCTAATGCCGGACCGGGCGGGCGAGTCACGAAACTCGGTTACGAAACGGAGCCGAAAGAAGGGAAAAAACACCGACCCGACGACGAAACGGAAAAAAAAAACAAATCGTGCTTAATTGGAGGTTCGGAAAAAGCGCGCGCCGCGGATGGACAGGCCGACGTGCCGGATTACGGGATTCGGGAAATCATTTCCGTGATGTCGCAAAAGTACGGGAGAATATAAGTGCTTACCTTCAAATTATGTACCTAATAAAAGGTTCGTCGCGAAGATCACGTACTGCGTCCACGAAGTCCGTGCCGAGGCATAGAGCGAACTAGCAAACACGAGCGTCTCGTTTGGGTTCCCCGTCCGCTGAGCGGGCTCCCATTGGTCGGCTGGCCGCGAGGGGGGCGGGGCCCCGTCCCGCCAATCCGCGCGCTCCCATGGATGTTATTACGCAGTTGTACACAACCCTATCGTCACAGAATCTCCCGGGCCCTTTGCGCGCGGTGCGACATCGATTTTGCCGATTTTCTTCTTTTTTTTCCGGTCGGGGCGGAATTCGACTGTTTCAAGTTGCGTTGGACGTTCGTGAAGTGCGGCGATGGTGTTGTGTTCGCCTTTCCGGTGACGATCAGTTGATAAATAAGTGAAAATGAGTGTATGTTCCTGCTCGCGTTGGATACCTACCGAAAATTGGAGTCTCCGGATTCCGGAATAAATTTTTAACGATTACATGTTGATGTTGTATTTTTGTTTACATTCCCCGCGTGTTCAGAGATTTTTCCAGGCAGCATTTTTAACGCGAGAAATTAAACGCGGTGTTTTATTATACGCGCTGATTGCCTGTATCCCTTTAAACAGGAAAAAAATTTCCCCTGGGTCAAATGTAATGACTTATCAGAGCGCGCATTGAAATTTTCTTCAGTTAAAATGGAATTGGTTTTGTTGTCTCAAAAGAGTTTCAGTTGTCGTAACAAGGAGTTTAATTGTCCTTAGGAGCCTCCAGTGCACTAAAGAAACCTGTTTAGCCGAAAAGGACATTTTTTCCTAAGTAGTCTCCTCATTGAAAAAAAAAGTATGGTAACATCTACTAAATGAGTCTAATTAATTTTTTACACAGTGATACCATTTAGTTAAAATAACCAGAATTATGACAGTATTCACCAGAAATCAGGAATACTCACCACAATATGGTAAATGCTACCATAGAGTCTTGTGTTCAGCACCATACTCGAATCGCTGTGTCAGAGTATGGTAAAATCTAGGTACTAATTTTTTTTTCAGTGTTTAAAGTTTTCTCCCTCTTATTCTTCTCTCCGATTATTTTTTGCGTTTTCTATCCTCCTTTTCAATTCGTAGCATTCAAGTATAATAGAAATTAAGAGACCCATGTCGTTTGCAGAGCACTCGGGAGACAAAATAGTTTAAGGAAAAAAATACGCATCCGCATATTTTGCATTATTTTTCTTCTCGTTTAATGTCAAACTGACGACTCATGTAAGGATATTACAGTGTAGTGGAGCTAATCGAAACAATCAATTAGGTATTGATGAAAAGCGCACATCAAGAAAAATAAACGAAAGAAAAATCAACACACAGACTCTTTGGTGGTATAAATTCGTTCGCAAGACAAATAATCGCGCATAACGGCATTCTTTTATTTTATTTTATTCTTAACGTACCTTTATGAATGTAATTAAAAAACTCGCTGAAAGCAGAGGGGTTGCTGATTTTTGTTTTACTTTTATTTTTAGTGTTTGGTTAAATTTAACCAAAAGGAAATTATGCTTCTGTCAAATATTATAATAATCAAGTTCTCCTGGGAGGAATTTACCAAAGTGGAAACAAATAAAACAAATAATGTTCAAGGCTTACGTCATTTCCCGCACAAAAGAGCGTAAGTCCATTTCAAGGTTGCAAAATTGACTAAAAAAATTCGGATTTTTTACAAGAATAATCCTGTAAAATTTGTGTCCAAAATTTTTCTAATTTTTGCATGAGATCCGAAGAAAAATAGTGAAAATTTCAGTTAGAAATTCCTAAAAATCTCCTGTTAAAAGTGCAATTTGCGAGGGGAAACTTGACAGCATTGGAATGTTGTTACGTCTTTTCGTGCACCGAAAAAAATAATATGCTGTTTTAGCATCTAGGATGTCAAAAATGTGTCTGGTGATCCCAAGATGCTGTCTTTACTGCTCCCGCAGTTAATTTTACATCCTGTGAATGCGCATTCAACTGCGGGGGCAGTAAAGGCAGCATCTTGGGATCACCAGACACATTTTTGACATCCTAGATGCTAAAACAGCATATTATTTTTTTCGGTGTGAGGGAAACGACGAATAATCTCTTTCATGTCAATGCTAAGCAAAATTAAAATATTAGTGAGCAAATGAATGCTTATAGGACAATAGATACCTAGTAATGAGGGCACATTATGTCCTTTTTGTATTTAATAATTCAGTTATGGGCTACACAGACATATGGTCGTTCCGGTCGAGAGTTTCGAGTGGTGGAGCTGTTACTGCCGTGCTAAGGAAAAACGCCGTATGAGCCTTGAGACGTTGCCAAGTTTCCTCCGATAAAAACCGAAATTACTAGGAAAGTCAAGAATATTATTTTCCAAAAATTTCAGACAATTTTCCATGCAATTTATACTAAAGTATATCGACGGTGAAACTACCAAACCACGTATCTCGTTTGCGGTGTTTAAAAATCTACGCTCACATTTTATTTTTTTGAAGTATAGACCAAATCAATATCATTCTTTGAAATTTTCACGGAATTTTCTCCGCACGAAGAGGAAAAATCACAGAAATTTTCAAGACTGGATGTTGAGTAGTTTTTCATTTAAAAAATAAAGTATGACAGGAAGTCTGCGACGTCGCAAACCGAGATACGTGGTTTGGTAGTTTCACCGTCGATATACGAAAATTTCAAGGAAAAATATGCACGAATGTTGTCAAAAATACATGTTTTATCTAGGGTAATTTGGCAACTCTCGAATGTTCATACGGCGTTCTTCCTTAGCACGGCATAGTTTAGCTCCGTCTGCTACGGGTATTACACCCGTAAATTTCAGCCTTCGAAGTCGGCATGTTTATATGGCCAGTAAGTACGGCTTCCACAGCCGGAGTTTTTTTTTTCCATCGGATACAATTTAGTGACGTCGAGCTCGACACCATTCCAGCCATTTTCACGCTCGGTCACAAAAATTATGAAAACCTGCACCCACCTTCTAGACTCCAGAACGTTACGTGATTTATGTGCAACCCCCCGGGGTGAGTTTTTCATTGCCGCAACACTGAAGACTGCCGAAATCCTAAACCAATCTGCAAGTATCAAAATACGTTCGAGCCCACACATGGGGGAGGGGGCATCGGGACCGACTTCAAATAGACTATATTTAGCAATTAGAAACTGCAGATTCTGGTTCATCCGTGAAAACACTCACGTCGTTCATTGGGGAACTAATGGTGCATAAGTTATTTCTAAACTGATAATGAGCCAGAAATTTTAGTCTCTTATTGCAAAATGTAATCCAAATGGTATAGTATAATGACATTGTAGTCAAAATAAGAGATGAAGTCTTTGGGTCTTTTTTTTTCTTTTCTTAGGAATTTGGGGTCTGTATTTTGAGAGGCATTTTCGGATGATAAATACATTTCGACGGTGCAAGTCGGCAATCACATAACTCGGTTTGCGACGTCGCAGACTTCCTGTCATACTTTATTTTTTAAATAGAAAACTACTCAACGGCAATTCTTTAAAACTGTCATGATTTTTCTTCTCAATGCGAGGAAAATTCTGCAAAAACTTCAAGAAATAATGTCAATTTGCTCTCCTTTAAAAAAATGACGTAGAGGCGGAGATATTCAGACACCGCAAACGAGTTATGTGATTGCAGACTTTCACCGTCGATTCGTTTTCATGATTCTATTGGTAGATGGATTGAGAATGATAATATGCGGTATCGTTATCTGCGGTCATCATAGGCCAGCGAAAAGGTTTGACTCAAATACCTCATAACTTCTCCGCGGTGGAATGAGCAAGTAAGCAGCCGGTGATCCGGGGGCCCTTCTCATTACTATGCCGTGCTAAGAAAGAACGCCGTATATCCATTCAAAAGTTGCCAACTTTCCATAAAATGTTTATTTTCTTGGTAAGTTATGCATATGTTTCCATATAGGGTTGTCGGATGTGTTATATTGAATTGCGAACAAAATTCGTCACCTTCCGGGCAAAGTATCACAAGCGCCATGCGACGTTTCAAAAATTCCGCCGCCGTTTTATTTTTTTACAGAGAAATTGTTCAACGAAGCTGTTCGAAAATTTCACTGAATTTTCTTTGCGATGCCGATAAAATTCAGTGAAATTTTCAAACAGATTCAACCAACAATTTCTCTGTAATAAAATAAAATGGCGGCGAAAATTTTGAAGCGTCGCATGGCGCTTGTGATACTTTGCCCGGAAGGTGACGAATTGTCCAAAAATTTTGAAGAAAAACATTCCAAATATTTCTATAAATTGCGTTTTCATTGAAGGAAATATGGCAGTGTCTGGAGGCTCATACGGCGTTTTTCCTTGGCTCAGCAGAATGATGACGATGTTTAATGAGACGCTTTGAGGTTTGAACACTCGTTGGTAACAAGAAACAATATGGTGGAACGAACGAGCAACGCAGTGGCTAGGCGTGATTTGCGATATATCGACCGATCTACCATTTAATCCTACGAAGAAAGATCGATGAACAGGGTGTTCGCAACGAACATTTTAATAATCGATTCGATGCCATAGCTTCAAATGGGGAAATATCGATAGTCGATCATTCACGCCTCGGCACACAGTGGAACGAGTCAATGGGAGAGGTCGGACATGATTTAGAAACTTTAAAAGCATATATCTTCATTAATATGCAATTTTGATGTTTTAGAAATAGTTTCATTGGTTTTCTCTCAAAATTGTCTATAAAAAGCACCCCTCAAAATTAAAATTGTGATGAGATAAACGTAAAATTTTACAATTTTTGTCAAAATTTTCATGTCCGACTTCTTCCATTGACTCGATCCACCGTGCGGCACTGGAGCAACGAGGCTCACGAATTTCACGGTCATTACTGGGCCACCGTATGAACAATGCAATGCTCGAGCGGCAACTGAAATTGGACCGTTTATTTGCGAAAGGGCGTAAGTGCCGGAAAATCATCAGCCTTGAGTCGTGTCTCTTATTGCAGCTTCCAAGGCCCCCGAGTTTTCTATGCTTGGACTCTTTCGTAAATGAACGGTTAGAATAAAGCCAGGATTTCAAGTTCATATGGAGTTAGTACGCGCTCGGCCGTGTTTGTAAACAGTTTCGTTATTTTCGCTCGCTCTGTTTGGTGCCCCTTCCACTGTTTTGATGTCCGCAAGGAATACCAACCACTGTATTTTTTGTGCCGACTCAAATGTTATGGTATACAGACTCAATGGTTCTCCAGCGTTCAAGGCTAATTTGAGCATAGCGTCAAACGAAAGGGAACAATGTGACATCATATGGACGTATTTCTATCAAACGGAACTATGTGAACTATTCATTATGAC